GATCTTATTATCGTGTATTTTGTAAATCAGAATAGATTGATATTCCACTTAATAAAATAATAATTAAGCTTAACACCGATATAGTTAAATTTGGGCAAAATTATTTCACTGTAGAGATATAGATTGAGTCACATCATTTGAAAATCGATGAACCGAATGGACAATTGTAAGATATGAAAGAACACTTTATCTATAAGCAATAGTTAATTCACTATGAATTTGTTTAGCAGTAAAGTCTAATAACAATCGAGTTTTTATCTTTAAGCGTATGCACTGTTTTTCAATTTGAAAATACAGGCGACTGAAACATTTACCTTAATAGATACTGGTGAAACTTTATATTAGTAGTTTTATACATAACACGAAAACAACTTTTGTAGTCCCTTATGTGTTTTTTTAGATTTGCAAGCATTATATTCTTTTTAAATCAAAATTAATCATTATTTCGATTTTTCTAGTTTGTAGTTTACTTGCACTTGATCAAGAAATGTTAACTATGGCTCTTATTTCAACATTCAATATGACTAAAGGTATATTATTGATATTTTTTTGAGAAAATATTTTCGTTATAGAATATGATTTTCATAGGTGAACGTGTAATAAGTTTAAAAAATTTTGATCAAGCTAATGATTGTCGTGATGCACTTGCTAAAGCTTTATATGAACGTTTATTTTCATGGATTGTTAAACAAATAAATACACTTTTACAACCAAATCGACGGTAATTATTTTATTTTGAATATTTATTAAAAAAAAAGGAAAAAAATGTTTTTTTTTGTGTTTTATATAATAGACATAATCAAGTCTATGATAAAATTTATCGTACATGTTCAATATTAGATATGTCAGGTTTTGAAAATTTTCAAGTGAATAGTTTTGAACAATTATGTATCAATGTTGCTAATGAACATCTACAGTATTATTTTAATGAACACATTTTTTTACAAGAAGAACAAGATTATCGAACTGAAGGTGTATCATGTGAAAAAGTTGAATTTCAAAATAATGAAGATTTAATTGAATTATTTATGGGTGTAAGTTTAATAATTATCAAAAAAAAAAAAAAAAGAAAAACATTTCTTTTTGATTATTTTCTTTTTTTTTACTCCAATAGACATTAGGTATATTTGCATTACTTGATGAAGAATCTCGTTTTCCAAAAGCAAATGATGAATCACTTGTACAAAAGTTTCATAGTCATTGTAAAAATCATCCAAGATATATTAAACCAAGAGGCAATGAAACAGCTTTTGGTATTCATCATTATGCTGGAAAAGTATTGAAAAAAGAATATTTTTGAAAAAGACAAAAAGAAAAAAAATTTATTGTTTTATTATCTTTACATATAGGTTGTATATGATGCTCGTGGATTTTTAGAAAAAAATCGAGATAATCTTAGTGCAAATTTAATTGAATGTATGGAGAAAAGTGGAATTGAATTAATTAGTCATTTATTTACTATGACAGATACAATAAATCATTCAACGGATATTGAAATGTCAGCACTGTAAGTAAAAAACTAAATTTCAATTTAGTCTATTATGATTATGAGAAATATTTGAGCAAGTTTGATTTTTAAATAAGTAAAGACAAAAAAAAATTTCAATGAACATTTTCACTTTGCTATGTTAATAGCTACGTAATCAGCTAGACAATAATCAGGGCTCAAGTTTTCTTTGTTCGTATGCATTGGTCAAGCAAATGAGCTTCTATCTGCGTATTGACTATCCTATTCTTTTGTCAAGCACGATCTATAAAGAGTGTAAATATATAAATTATTTCCATCTTGCACATCTCAAGAACTAGATAAATGTATGCTGAAGAGTTTGATTCAGTTCTAACAAATCATTAAATTGCGAGCTATAACATTCCTATACGACAGTTAGAGAACAACTATCGGCATCTCAATGGTTTGAATCAGATGAGTACTCAGTCGAATGCGAAAATTCATTAAAATGTGTGTACATACATGACCTGTTATGATCTGGTATGTGTGAGAACGCGTCATATGATAAACTATCTTGGCGTTTACATGCATGAAATTTTTCGCATATACTCACCTCATATTGTCGCTTCTTACTAAAAGATAAGAATGCTTTTGTAGAGAGTATAAGCGTGTACATGCAAGACAGTTTTAGAATGACAAAAGAAAACAAAAAATATCCAGTAGACATACATACTTTGCTTTATAAGATGAATTTCTTTACCAATCGACTATTTACTTATGTTAGACGTGCAGTCAAAATTTGAACATATAATGATTGATCATTTGATAACTACTTTCGAAATTTTTTACATGAATATTATAACTATAGGCGAATGCAAGAAACAGAATGTATACTACAATATGATAGAAATTTGTATGCCAATTCCAAATTACTTTGTTAATAGTTTTCGTCAATATGACCTTTTTTCATTGACATGTTGAGTTCAGCAAAATTCGAGTGATCTTGCAAGTACATGCTAATAATACTTTGACATTTATATGAGAGTCATATATCTTGCATAAACAAGCAAGAATGTTGCATTCAGCTGTTTGCTAGGATCAGAATCATGCACAGTTCCGTATGTCTTTATGACCTGTATGTACTATCGTCTTGCATTTTCATTCATAAGATAATTTCGCATTTGATTGAGCAATAGAGATGAAATTTTATTTGTTTGATAAAAAGGTTTTTTTTTGTATTATAAAGTATTTCTCTTAATCCCAAAAGAGTGTCCTTCAAAAACCGCAAAATAAAAATCCTTGACTATGTTATTTTCATAACGGAAGTAAATATAAATAATATTTTTTTTTTCTTTTATTACTTTTATTTAATATACAAAAGTGAACGAATCAAGGACGTTTTTTTTTTCTTGTTGTTCTTTCATCACAATTTTGTATTTCTAGTTTACCATTTCGAATAACAGATAACAATAAAAACTCTCAATCAACTTCATTATGTACAAATCGTCGTCCAAAATCATATGAAATTGAACGTACAAAAGAAAATTTAAGTCAAAAAGCTGCTAAATCACTTCGACATGATTTGTACGTAATACGAAAGAAAACAAAAAAAAAAACTTTTCTTTATAAGAAAAATTTCTTTTTCTTTTTGATTTAATTTTTAGAAAATCATTTAATAAAACTAATACAATTCCAAAAGAACGTTTTAGTCAAAATACTGTAACACTTCATTTTAAAGTATCTCTTTGTGAATTACTTGATAAAATGAAAAATGCTGAACCATCATTTGTCAGGTACGTGGGTCAATATATAAATGTCACATTTACATTAAATCGACGAATGTGTTGAGAAAGGATTCGCGTTTTTTTCTTCTTCTTATTCTCATTTATTTATACAAATATTTTTTTTTGTTCTTTTCTATCTATCAATCTCCATTGTCCCGTCGGTTAGATTACCCAACATTCTTCCAAACTCGTTGTGTCTACTTGTTGTATTTGTACTGTTGTCACCTTCGTTCGTGACATAGACAAACACAAATGAGAACGAAGGGAAAAAAAACGAAGAAGATTTTTTTTTCTATGTATTTATGTATATCTATATATGTGTATGTGTATTTATCTCACCATTTGATGACGAAAAGAAAGAAAGACCTAGACGAAAGACTAATGGGAAGTACAAAGTAAACAAAAAAACGAGTGCGAGAAGTATAAAGGGTGACAAGATAAAATAAAATGAACGAGAATAGAAGGAAGTTTATACATTATTTCTTTGTCGATTGTCGGAGGATTGTGTTTTGTGAATATAAAAAAAAAAAGAATGATGAAGGACAATTTTGTCTTTCAGTCTTAGTTTTGTATACAATTATTGTTATTCATTTAATGTCCTCGTAAAAATATTGTTCAAGCACGTAAGATCAAAATAATTCATCTTCTTTTTGCTTTTTTTGTTTCGTCTACATAATGTTATTAACATTTATGTATAACATGTATTAGTACAATATAAAACAATGTCGAATCTTTAAATAATATTTCAATGAATTTGCGTGTTTTATTTTGTCTTCGCCGTTTCATGTTTTTGATCATAGGAAGAAGATATATTTTTTTGTAATACGTTAGTGTATATAGAATGGTGACAGATGGTTTAATCGAGAATATTATAGAATTTTCGCTTCTTTCGTAATGGTGTCAAACATTCGTTGTATATGGATTAGAAAGAAAATATTGCGTCAGTTTGACATAGTGTGCTATCAATATGAATGTTTACTATCTCAGATCAGGTCTTATAGAATATAATTAGTCATATTGCGAAGACCCTCGAGATTTTTATTGTGAACAATGTAGCTTAGTCTTTCATATAACTGAACAGAGCAATCATATTGAAAAAATCATGAATGTTTATTTAGGTAAACATATTTATTATAGAACATTAGGTATTGAAGAATATATGTATAATATTCCAAATAGGATAATTATATTGATAGAATTAAATATAAAATATTTAAATGCTTTCTTATTCATATGTTGTCATTATGTCATTGTGTATTATTATTCAACATTCGATTTGAATCTCCTTCTTTTTTTTTTTTCGTAATCTTACATCATTATTATTCAAGGTAAATAGTTTTAAGATTGATTGGCTATTCATATAGATAATCGTCTAACGTCTTTAATTAATACTCATTTTGATACATACTAGCAAATGTATATCATTGTTGACTGTACAGATTAGAAAAATTAGGTTGATTCTCTTTTGTTGTCTTTCTTATTGTGTGTGTGTGTGTGCTTGACTCTATTGATTAGTTTTTTTCTTTTTATTCAATAAATAACAATTTGTTGCAATAGATAGACCGAAAGTAAAAAAACAACATAGATATACGGTCAAGCGCGTTGTTATTTTTCCTTTTTATTTATCTATCGATTAGTCTCAATCGTCGAATAAAATTGTCTAACGAAACGAAATCTATTGACATTCCACGATCGTTCTCTTTTCTATTCTATTCATAATTGCTATCGGTATTATTGTTTTTTTTTTGTTCGTTTCTAATTGTACTGCAATGTCAGATTTTAACTTATTTTCATCAAAAACTGATGTAAAAAAATTATTATTTGCAACGGAAAAATTTAAATTTGATGAACAATGTTCAAATGATTCATGGCAAGATTTACCCGGTGTAACACCAACATCAGTACTTGCATCATTTATTGATAATCAACATATTCAAACAATATCATCATTATCATCATTTACTGATAATAGAAATGATTATGGTTGGGAAACTCTTGATGATTATTCAACAATACCAAAATCTTATGGTTTTAATTATGAAAAATTATCAACTAAACCGACAAGTTATTGTCGACTCGATCGACGTGGACATTGGTTATTATTACCACCACCACCATCACTTCCACCAGTACTTCATACAAATACAGATAAAGATGTAACATATAACGTTGAAAAACATGTATCAAAAGATTCTTGTAATCATGAACAAGTTGAACAAAAATTTCCTGATTCATATGAAAGTTTAACTGTTTCAATTGATTTTCATGTACCAACAGATGAAGTTATCATTGATTATGATACTATGAGTCAAGAAAATATACTACAATGGAAAAATAAAATACAACAATATCAAAATAAAACATTAGATGATATATATGAAGAAACGAGGTAGACTTAATTCATTTGTACTATTCTATAATATCGATAATGAAAATTTCTTGTATTATATTTTGTAACGAATACTTCGCGATAGTTTTTATCATACTGCGTATATATTAAGAATCGATGATAAAAAAAAACTAATTTGAATGATAATAATCATATAGGTTTTACAGAACATAGAATTGTCTATTATATAAGAGTAATATAAGGCTTCTTAATATTATTATATATATATAAGTAATCTTCTTCTATAATTTCAATTAGAGATTTAATAGTTCTATCAATTCGCGTATCGATTGTCCCATGGAAAATGAAACCGTTAGTATCTTTTAGTTTTCTATAAAATGTTATATTATTGATTAATGTAATTAACATCCATCATTTTCCGAGACTTGCTTCCGACGAACAGTTGAAGATAAACAATCATCTAGTACAAATTTTTCTTAATAGATAAATCAAAACAATTCATAAGGGAGACAAACCGAAAAATTCCATGTTTCAAGTTTATTGTCGAAGTTGTCCTCTAGAACTTATTATTTTAGAGAACAGATTTGACAATCTTTTGGAATATGCAATTCTTGAGTTTCACACATCGATTTGACTTCAGTGGTCATTTCTTCAGAGAAGTTTATTTACTATATTAGTGAAAAAAATGTTATAAAAGTTCTGAGTGGTTCATTTAATTTAATTTTGTATCATAGATGTATTAAACCTAATCACGGTAAAGTAGCTAATCAATTTGACGAAGAACTAGTTCAAGAACAATTACGTTATAACGGTATACTTGAAATATCTTATATACGAAATCAAGGTTGGCCTGTTCGTTTTACATTTGAAGAATTTTTAAAACGGTTTGTTTGAATTTTTTTTTGTTGTTGTTATTGTTGTTGATGATATTATTTATATATTAGATATAAATTTATATCTTATCCAGAAAATAGTCCAATAAGAATTAATGCAATAACATGTGAAAAAATTCTTAAACAACTTTCATTTACTGATTATGTTATTGGAAAATCTAAAGTAATTATTTTATTTTTTTATTTATTTATTTAATAAAATAATTATTATTTTAGATATTTTTAAAATTAGAATATTTAGAAATTTTAAATCAACATTACGAACAGTATATAAAAAATATAATCATATGTCAAAAAGTAATTAAAGGCTTTCTTGTACGACGAAAACTTTTACGTAAAGCTAAACAAAATGCAAATGAACGTCATGTTTTTCTAAATCAAGTACATTGTTACGGAAAAAAAACACTGGAGAAACTTGTATCATTACCAAAAGTATATTTTATTTACGTGTTCTTATTCAATTTATATTAAAGAAATATAAATCTATTCATATAGGTCTCTACGAAGAGCGTTCAACGAAAATCATCAAAAACTGATGATAGTGGACGTTTAAGTCATTTTATTAAAAAACGATCAAAACATAATGAAAAATCAACTTCACCTGTTGATGAAGCAATACCAATGAGTGAACAAGAACATAATGATATGTTAAAAGCAGCAATAGTAAGTTTAATAAAAGATATTCGATTAAATGATATTGTCGTCGTTTAATTAAAATTGTTTAAATCAAGAGTCTCGGGAAAAAGCTTTCGAATAGAACAAGATATTCAGATCAACCTTGTATAGATTGAAAGAGAAATGCTTTCAGAAACGACGTCTAATCTTTATCTTATTTCTATGAAAAATTATTTCATAAATATCAACTTACTTAATATTCTAGTGTCAAGAATAGGAATATTTGAAAAGTTCAATGAATATATATATATTTGGTTTTTGTTTATAGAAATTACAATTACTTAACAATGATGAAATGGATGAATTAAATGGTGTTGATCATCGAATAACTTCAAATAATGCATTGGGATCTATGACAAAAACGCCTGGTGATGTTAAATCATCATTGGAAGGTTTATCAGAATGTGAAGTACGTATTTTTGTTCAAGATGAATTTACACCTGAAACAATGATGGCAACTAAACAAGGAAAACATAAAAAATTTCCTATCGAATCAAATATTCAATTAGGTTCAGGATTAGCATGTACAACAGCATCACAAAATCCATTAAAAGTTCATGATGGTACAATTGCTGAAATGGCTGCTAAAATTCCTATTGCACCAACAATGGATTTAGCATCTGCTAAACAATTAATAAGACAAACAGAAGTTGCTGCAACTAGTGGTGATTTATTTATGACTGGTAGATAAAAAAGTTTTCATAAATATTTCTTTACATTTCTTTCATTTATAATTTAGATTGGTCAGTTGGACAAGAAGAAAAAAAACATCCAACTAATGTTCGTTCAAAATCTGAACCTCGAAAAATTCTAGCTAATCTTCAAGATCAAAATATGTTATCTGAACAAAAACGTGGCATTATTAAAAAAATTCTTATGTTACAAAGACAAAGATTTAAAGATAATCAAGCACGTAAAAGTAATGACTTTGAACATTCAACATATAGTTTTAGTCATATAAATCAATCATCGAAAAATGATGATCAACAAGCCTTATTTAATGAGTAAATTTATTTGAAATAAAATAAAACTATTCATCCTGCTTTGTTTTTATCTAGTGACAGTTTAGATTGTTGGGATGCACCACGTGCAATTGATGTTCGTGAAGCATATGAAAAAACGGTTCATTGTTATCGATTATCAATGCGAATGTTAAAACTTGCTACTTATATTGTACTTAATATTGGTGTATTATTAACTGCACTTGTTAGTAAAGGAACTTTATTACTTATGACAAACTCGGTGGCAAAAGTACAAGAGGTAATCATTGATGAATAATATTGTTTTTCGAAGTGTACTAACTGATTATGATTACAATGGAGCAGACACTAAAATAGTTCATGTGAAATTAAATATTCAATAAATAGGATAGTAACGAGTAAATTGATCAACTAAGACCTACATATCCAATGAATTCTTGTCTCAAAAATCTGAAGTATGGTAGTTCTCTTAGAGGCGTCTGTTTTTTTATGTTTGGCGTGTTTACTTTTATCATACTATAATTTGTATTGCTTTTTCTCGTATTATTGTAGTTTTACTGATCGACTGAGTCTTCCGTTAACTAGGACTAGAGTGAATATCTATTTTTTTAATTTCATATTATTGGTTAGCAGAGATAGAATGATCTATAATGTGCGGTTACGCTTATGTTATGAAACTTGAAAGTAAGTTCAAGTAACTGAAAGTACTTATAATTAGTTTAAAGTAGATTGTGTTTGATCATATGTCATCTGATTACTATTTTCTATACCAAGTTAATTTTTATTTAATTATAATAAACATATAAAATCTTTTAGACACCCTATCGAGAACGTTGGGTATGGATGTTATTAGCAGCAGTATGTGCTCCATATATATTTACTTTCTTCGAAAGTCTTGGTAAATGTTTATTTGGTAATAAACCATGGCCAACTGTAAAAATCTTTACTGTTGTATGTTGTTGTTTTTTTTCTTTTTGAGTTCTTTTTTTTTTTTTTCATTTTAATTATGATTATAAATAGGTTTTTTTCATCGAAACTTTACATAGTTTTGGTATAGCTATATTTGTTTTTCATATATTACCAAAACTTGATGCTGCAAGAAGTTTATTAATAATGAATGCTGTATGTCTTGTACCTGCCTTTTTAAAATTATTTTTGACGAAATCAAATTCATCCATTGTTCAACGAAGTCTTTTATTTCTTATGGATTTTTTTGCATTTGCTATGCAATGTTCATGTGTTGGTATTGCATTAGCATCGAAATTTTTAAAAAGTGATGGACCAATACATATTCAAACAACAGTATCATCATTATTTTATCCAGCAAGTACTACTACATTACCATTATTAAATCGACATAGACGACAAGATGATTCATTGACTGTTGCTTATGATTTATTTACTTCGGATGTTAATGGACATAATGAAAATATTTTATTAACAACATCACCTAGTAATATTAGTTCAATTGATCAAAATTTACAAACAATTTTAGCTGGTTTTCATATTGAATGGGAATTACCTGTTGCACTTATTCTGGTTTCATTAGCTTGGTAAGATATTTGACATGGAATAGAAAAAAAAAATTTAGCTATTAATGTAATCTTTGTATCAAACTTTGGTATAATCAACTATAGAATGATCCTAGACAAGCCACTAACAATTGTTTTTATTGGATCACCCATTTGATAGCATGCCAACTATGTTGGCACATACAGCTTACTGTTTAGAGATACAGCAAGTATTAGCTGTAGAGACGATATCAGGCTATTGAATTTGCTGCTAGGTAGTATCTCATACCGCAAGGTAGCCAACAGACAAGTGTTCGAATTTCATTAAATAGTTAAGATTTTCTCAACTGTACAGAATGGTCCAAAAGTTCCCGAGCAGTCAGTCTTTAATTTTGAATAACTTTTGATAGAAGCAAGATAGAGAGCTGCGATTTTCACCGTTCGAAAGAGAGACTGTTACTGCATAGTTTCATGTATTAATCAACAATCTTGTCTGATGATCAGTTAGTGAATCTTCGAAAAAACAGCGACAGTTCTATGAAAATAGCATGTAAGTTCAGTTCTAAGAAATCCACTAGGCTCGTGTCCTTATGATCCATTCTGATGCCTATACCCAAAAATTTTATCTTGTTTTATTCAAAAGTTATAAATGCGACACTAGGTGATGAGGCTGTGGGCATGGATTATAAGTACGCGGGTCTAGTGCACTTATTAGATTTGAACTCTCATGCTATCTTCATAGAGTTGTCACCGTTTTCTTCGAAGACTTACCAATTGATCATCAGACAAGATCGTTGAGTAATACATGGAATTATGTAATAACACTCTCTCTTTCGAACGATGAAAGTCGCATCTCTCTATCTTGCTTCTATCAATAGTTATTCAAAATTAAAGACTGAATGCCCGATGACTTTTGGACCACTGTGTAGATTTTATTAAGATATAAATTGAGATGTCAAAATTCAAATAAATCTAATAAATGATCTGATTAGATTTTCATGCAAGAATAATTTTCAGTAATTGCAGAATTTGTTTGAAATGTTCATAAACCAGAATATTTTTCTCTTACTATCTTTCTTCTATATATATAAATATCCATGGAATTTCTTTTTTCTTTGGTTAGGTGGGAAAATTTTGTTGATCGTGATATTAAAATTGGTGATCGTACAATAGTTCATATGAAATTATTAAAAGAAAATATTCTTGCAACACGTTCAAAAACATCAATAATAATAACATGTTGGAAAATATTTGTTACTATTTTATTTGCTTATATATTTCATCATGGTATATTTAATACATCTGTTATTTTTCCAATCAATACGAGTAATGATCAAATAGAAGATCCACTACCTAAACTATCATCTGGACAAAATTCTTGGGCAGCATTAGGTTTTGATCAACAATCAACAGAAGGTATGTTTTCAATTTTACCACCACGTGAACGTCGTTCAATTGATAATATAACAACATATCTTAAACGAATAAAACGACAAATGGATAATGATTTTTCAAATCATTTTCCTTCTGATGATGATACATTATATTCAACAATAGGAGGAAATAATATTGGAGGAAATAATGGTGAAGAAACAAATCCAAAAGATCGTTGGATATTTTATTTAACACCAATGATATTAAAAATTCTTTCGGATGCATTATGTTTTTATATGGGACGTTTAGCATGTAAACTATGCATGCAACGTGTATGTTTTGCATTACCCATAACATTAGTAACACCATTAGCATTAACAATATTACTTGTTATGTGTTCTATTGCACCAAAATCAACTGTTTTTATTGAAAATTTTCTTTTTTGGAGTTGTTATGCTGATTATGCTAAAGAATCATTTCGATGGCAAGTTATATGTGGTCTTGTTTTATGGTGGTTATCAGAATTATGGATTGGTGGACATATTTGGTTTGGAAAAAGTCAACGTTTAGCATTTACAGAACGGTAAATTAATTTAATTTGAAATGATTTTAGAAGGAACAAAGAACATGAATATGTTTTTTTTTTTTAGTTTATTTGTTTCACCACGGTATTGTGCAACATTACTTGAACAATCTTTAATGATGAATCGACGTCGAAATGAACGTGATGAAATATTAACTGGTACATATGATGAAATGGGTACAACAACAAATGTTGAAGCAGAATATGATGAACAAAGTATTGAAGAATTATCTATAGAAAAAAAATTAAGTGCTGAAGTTCATACAAAAATTTATTCATGTGCAACTATGTGGCATGAAACTGAAACAGAAATGTTACAATTATTGAAATCGATTATGAGGTTTGTATTAATAGAAATCTCATATTTGAATACAATAGAGATTTGAAAATATTCTTCTTTTTACTTTAAAATAATAACTAAATTCCTATCTACAATAGAATCATGATCTTCGACATTATGTAATAGAAAATCTACTAATTTTAATAAAATTTTACATTTAAATTAATTTATTTTGTTCTTTTTTATTTTATTTCTATAGATTGGATAGTGATCAATGTGCTCGACGAACAGCTCGAAATTATTTACATCTTAAAGATCTTGATTATTATGAATATGAAGGTCATATATTTTTTGATGATGCTATGGAAGAAGATGACAATAATGAACAAGTACCAAATAAATTTGTTCAACAACTACTTGGTGTTGTTGATCGAGCTGCAACGTAAGTCGTGACTATCTATGTTGTCTAAGCCTTCTGTAATATTATTATGATAGAAGACTGAATGTAAGATTCTTGTCTTTGATTCTGTTTGCAAATTCACTTTAACATAACATCTTATTTTTATAAATTCTTTTTATAGAGCTATTCATCAATGTCCAATGAAACTTCCTCCACCATTTAAAACACCAACACCATATGGTGGACGTTTAACATGGGTATTACCCGGTGGAAATTTTCTTATAGCACATATAAAAGATAAAACAAAAATTCGACATAAAAAACGATGGAGTCAAGTAATATATATTCTTCGAATTGTTTTTTTTTTATTGAATTGATTTTTTAAGGTCATGTATATGTACTATTTACTTGGTTATCGTTTATTTGGTGATTTAAATATAATTGAAAAATTATATAAACGAAAACGAAAAAAAAATACATCAAAAAGTAAATCAAAATTATTTAAAGGTTTTGGAAATTTATTGAATAATATGGATAATAAAAAACGAATACAAGTAATAAATTTCTTTTTATGATAATAAGAACAAAGATATTATTAATTAGATGGAAAATACATATCTATTGGCACTTGATGGTGATGTTGATTTTCGACCAGAAGCTGTACGTTTACTTGTTGATCGAATGAAAAAAAATAAAAAAGTCGGTGCTGCTTGTGGTCGAATTCATCCAATTGGTAGTGGTAAGCTTTGCTAATTATATTGTTACATTAATATTTACTTATTCAAAAAAAACTAAAGGTCCAGTTGTTTGGTATCAAAAATTCGAATATGCTATTGGTCATTGGCTTCAAAAAGCAGCTGAACATATTCTTGGCTGTGTTGTACGTTAAGAATAACTTTTTTTCATTTCATATTCTGTAGAACAAATGTGTCTTTTTTGTTTTTAGATGTGTAGTCCAGGTTGTTTTAGTCTTTTTCGTGGTTCAGCATTAATGGATGATCATGTTCTTCGTACATATTGTACAAAATCAACCGAAGCTCGACATTATGTACAATATGATCAAGGTTTTTGAAAACTATTTTTATCATTATTTTATATTCGTGTTTTATTTTCTCTATAGGTGAAGATCGTTGGTTATGTACACTTTTATTACAAGAAGGATATCGTGTTGAATATTGTGCTGCATCAGATGCTTTGACTTATGCACCAGAATCATTTCATGTTAGTTTTAATTTTTTTTTTATTTACAAGAAATATTTATATTTTCTTTTTGAATAATAGGAATTTTTTAATCAACGTCGACGATGGGTTCCATCTACTATTGCTAATATCATTGATTTTCTTGCTGAATATAAACGAATTGTACTTGTTAATGATAGTATATCATATTTATATATTATCTATCAACTTCTTCTTATGGTTTCAACAGTACTTGGTCCAGCAACAGTACTTCTTATGATTATCGGAGCATTCAATGCATGTTTTGGTATGTTAGGAAAAAAAACTTTTAGTTGGAAGATTGAAAGTTTGACCATTATCTCGTTAGATCTAGTTTTCTAATCTTCACTAGACTTTTGAATTCGTATGAAAATTTTTTTTTTCAGGTACAAGTCTCTGGCAATCAATGTATATGTCAGTTTTACCAGCATTTTTTTATCTACTTTTATGTTTTCATACAACAACTGATTTTCAAATACGTGCAGCAGCTTTTCTTTCTGCTTTATATGCAATAATAATGATGTCAGTTGTTGTTGGTACAACAATTCAAATAGCTGAAGATTCTTGGACATCTCCGAATGCTGTTTTCTTAATGCTTTTATTTTCAATATTTTTCATTGCTGCTTGTATGCATCCACAAGAATTTTGGTGTATAGTTCCTGGTTTACTTTATTTTTTATGTATACCAAGTGGATATTTATTTTTACTTATTTATTCACTTTGTAATCTTAATATTGTATCATGGGGTACGAGAGAAGCACCAAAAAAAATTAAAAAAAATCAAAGTAAAGAAGAAATTGAACGTGCTAAAATACAAGAATTAACACAAGCAAAACAAAAATCAGCTGGATTTTTAAATCAAGTAAGAATTTAAATAAGACGAAATTCTTTTGCATTTTTGTTTTATAAAAAAAAAAAAAAAAAAGGTATTTGTAAATTTTGATCTTAAAAAATATGATCAACGTATACGTTCTTATGTACGAAAATGGCTTGGCCTTGAAAGATCGGGATTAAATGGTATACTCTTACAACAAATTTTAGATGCTGTTGAACGAATGGAAAAAGTACAAAGATTATTGTTCTATTATCAAAATAATCAAACGTTGTCCCTTTTCTTTTTCTTAGAATAAATTTGATGAAGAAATGGAAGCTGTAGCTACTACAGGTTTATATCCTCAAACAAATAAACATCAAGTTGATTCTGAAATTGATCCTAAATATGGTCTTATGCAATTAGCTGCTCGAACTAGTTCACCAATGACACGTGCTAGTTATCCTCAATCAGATCAACAACAACAATTAATTTATCGTGGAATAAATAATGCACGAAGTACACCTTATGGACAAGTTATGTCATATGGTGGTGTAACACGTCCATTTGAAGCTCCAGTTATAAAACGAGATGAACTAGGTATACAATTGTTAAGTGTTTGTTCATAAGATATTTAGTTTATGTCATAGTCCAGTCTCCATCATCAGGAACTTAGTGAATTTTCTAATTCAGTATAAATCAGCGGATATTCAGTGCTAATTGAACACCCGGTAGCAATGCTAGTTACGTTATGATATATACTTGTCCTTGTGGTTTTGTTGGTGTGTAACGGAATGCATAAGAACTTTGCATTAGACTATTATTTCTTTTGTTTATTATTGATCTCATCATTGTATGTTAAGTTTTGTATGAGTAGAGCTTCAATAACGATATGATGACTGGTTTTTTGTTTGTCTTAGATAAATATCTTTATGATAATAGATTTTTTTTGGAATTCTAAAAAACAAAAGATTTTATTTTAGTTAATCCTGCTTGGATCTTTCATGAATCATTACATGGTGCTGAAGTAGTAATGCTTGATCCACGTGAAACAAAATTTTTTCAAGAATTAATTGAACATTATTTATATCCATTAGTTGAAGATAAAGATCATCAAAAAAAAATAGTTCGTGATCTTAAATCATTACGTAATAATGGTTGTTTTATATTTTTTATGATAAATACATTATGGCTTGTTATTATATTTTCATTTCAACTTGTATCAGAACGTATACGTGATTATGTATTTATACCAATAAAACGTTTACATAATGAACCATTACGTTTTGAACCACTTGGTTTAGCTTTTTTAATTTTTTTTGCAACTATTTTACTTATACAATTTGTTTCAATGTTATGGCATCGTTATGGAACATTATTACATTTATTAGCATCAACTGATTTAAAAATTTGTCAACGAATGAATGGAAAAAATAATCGTCATCATCGACGTGGAGATTTTACAACAGATAATGTTGAAGATGCTGTTGAACAAGTTAAAGTTTTACAACAATTAAAAGGTTTTGATGAAGAAGATTTACCTGAACCTGATTATGATGATGATGATGATAATGATCAAGGTGAAAAACAAGCATCAGAACCTGATATATCAACAACAGGACTTATTTATCATGGTGGCAATCGATACATGAGAAATTCTGCAAATACATCACAACAATGGAGTGATACAGCTAAAGTAAATGATATGCAAAGAAATTTAGATACAACTGATCATAGTGAAATAAGTCAAGTGTGTGGATATGTATCAGGTTCAGTTAAAACATATGGAAGTAATTATGAAGCTATAAAACGACGTCAAGTATCAAATAAACGTCATTTATATAATAAATCACTTGATCATGTATTTAAATCACGTTATCAAGCATTAACACAAAATAAAAATCAACCACAACATCAACAACAACAACCAAATAAAAATACACGAATTAAATTAAGTGATGTTTTTCAACAACAACAATTAGGTTTACCAAGAACTAGACGAACATCAAGTGCATTAACAGTACGAGATAGTGTTAGTACTGGAAATATTCAACAACCAACAGCAATTACAAAAAAGCATCGAAGGAAATCAAAAGATCGACATTTAGAACATTTGTAGTGTGCATGTGTGTATGATATCTTTCGATTTTGTTTTTCATTTTAAAATTTTATGTTCATATTTATAAGCAAAAGACTAAATTATATATGGATGATATTTGAATTGACATAATCAAACAAAAAAAAAAAAACAAAGACGTTACACTTAAATCATAAATAAAGATTTATTCACAAGGTTTTTCGTTTGATATCAACTACTTCAGATGAAGAACTAAGAACAACGTCTAATGTGAATCGTATGTAATAATTGTTTGTGTAGTACACTAGATTTTTAATAGGATGGTAAATCCTTCAATGAAAAAATAAGACTTCAATTCGTTAAGACTCGATTGTGTATGATTCAACTTAATATCTTTTCAAACATTTTCCGGTAAAAAAACATTTATAGTTTATTTCTTGCTATGTAGTTAGAAGAAATGAAATGAAAATGATATGATATGTCTCAAAAATGAATTTTGAATATCTGTGATTTGTGTAAAAATCTAAAAAGTTATATTCATATGTGAATTTTTTTAAGCAAAGACTTTAGATACTCAGCATGGCTTGTCATCGATTACTCACACATGGAAAGGATGCGAACTCCAATGTAAAGATAGTTGAATGTACCATTGAAAAATAAATGAAGAATAGTGTGTTCAATGACTATGTTTTTATTTGTGAATAGTCTCAAATATTCCAAGCACGCGAACTCTTTATTAGAGTGGCCAACTAAAAAAATTCTGGAAAAGGGTGTGAGTGTGGTTGTCTATGTAACTATCGATAGGGTATTCTCTCAAATCCATATTAAAGCATCTGCACTTACACTCTATACTCGCCACAGTTATATTCACACCCGAACTATGCTCGTTGAGATCTATGTCTATGCAAAATCGAAATTCATAAGTAAGGTATTTTTTGAGGGATCACGGCATTTATTTGAAAAGATATTGTAAAAATGCAGTATTTCCATAACAATAAGCTCATTGCTCGAACTATTTTTAATGTAGTCATAATTTATCTGAGTCTACATAAGGCACATACTCTCGACTCAAAAGTTATTGAAAAGTTGGTGATCTTCATTCTTCAGTGATTATATCATAAAAATTCGTCATATACTATAAAATTTCTCTGATAGATTACACTATTCAGTTTATTTTAGTGACATCTGACGCTGCACTACTTTTAAAGATGAATAGTTTTAACTCATGTTAAAACAAACCTGTATTGTAGTTGTAGCGTCCTTACACTTGTACCAAAGTCAATTTATTCGAGCAATTAAAGTATATTCTAAGAGATTCGCTTTTGAAACAATTTCATTATTTTTCTATTTTTAATTATTCTATAATAAACAGGTGCCGTCTATGCATCTCATTCGACATTGATAAGTGCTTTTCATAACATTTGATCACATTCAATCATCTATTCAAATAGCCGTACCCGGGTAACACGCATAAAAGCTTTTATTTAAATAATTATATTGTCTAGTATATAAAAGTCAATGATAGAGAGCACAGTATATATCTTTCACTTCTAATAAGTGTGTTTCATCATTTTGCTATCTGATATTCATTTTTCGGAATTTTATTTTTAGATTATGAGCAAATCAAAAAATCCACTAGTTAGATATTTCAATACTGTCGAGCGGAATAACCTCGACGATACTATTACAGTTTGTTTCTATCATAATTTGTGAACTTTTAACTTGAATCCATTGTTTTAAATTTTACAGACATCATAAACGATACTGATTCAAATAACAAAGACGAGTTAATATTATGCATTAAAAATCGTGCAGAATTGTTTTTTCGGGTGTGAGTGTGAGCGTGGGTGTTGCGTATGAAAGGAAAGCATAGTCACATCTATACATTCTCTACGCAGAAGAAATATTACGAACTACTGAAAAATAGAGCGAACAAAAAAAAACAACGAAATTTCTCTTTTGTTTTTTTCCAAGTTATCTCGATGTTTCTTATGTATCAGACACAATAAAGTACTGAAGTTCTTGAATAAAAACAAATATAGAAAAAGAAATGAATTAATATTCTTTTGGCTTCTATCAAACATGTTGCAGAACTTTATTACTTGCGTCTCTCGTATCTAGTATCATTGAATGAATCCATATAATTCATTGATGCAGATTTTAATGTACATAAGTGGATTTGAGTGAGCAACTTGCTTGCTTAAGACGTTGCTGCAGTGTCGTGGATGCCATTGAAGAGAATCCACACCAACAGTCAGTTCACATTGATATTCACCTACTAACAGGATACCCAAGCATTCTGTACCTTTCTATGCCTATTTGTACACAGCGAGAACCTGAACCTGTACACATGTTGACTTGTATGCACTAGTGTTTCTTCACAAAAGTCTCACAGCCCTCTGCCAGTTCCATAGAATGAGTAGACGAATTCAAGAAATCATTGTGATTTCTACACAAGAAAAAGAAATATCGTATTATAATGCGTTTAAAAAATTTGAATATCGTTCTAAGGTTTTTCTTATACGAATAATGTATTTGTAAGCCATTATTATGAAGTCTTTCTTTTATTAAAAGACAA